AATGGTTAATTCCTTAAGTGCACATGTTAAACATGGTTCCATGCTTGGTTGGTAATCCAAAGCATGATCAAAGAGGTAATTATTGATAGTCAGACACTCTCCTACAATAGAATAGGCGGCCCCTCACTCCCTTCCTTATCCACTTTTAGTGGGCATTTCAAATGGACATTTTATTCCTATTTAAGCATTATGGAATAAAGAAAGGGTTGTTGTTGTCCTTGTAAGTATAGAGTTCCATTTTAAAAACAAGGAGGCTTGGTGGATGAGCCTTACATGAAGAGATTTAGTGATCTCTTCAACCTTATTATTTTGGTAAGTAGCAAGTCTATCTTATTTTTTACTTTAAATTTTTTCTCTATTATAAAACTATTCTGAAGTCATTCCCTCACTATCTCATATCTATTTTTTGGCATGCTCCCCACAAAATTCTTTTCAAAATCATTCATAAAGTTATCACCTAAAATTAGGCTTAATCTAACTTAATTGGATTCTTGCCTCAATTTGACCCAGTAAGACCTTCAAATTTGATGAAAATTCATGAAGAATTATAACAACCATTAATTATGCCCTCTCATTGCATGAGACTTGAATACACTCCATTATAACCCTTCACTAAGCTATCCATAAACTCTAAGACATTTTGAAACCATCCCAAGGCAAAAACATTAAATCATCAAGGGTTAAACCTTGGGTGACCACCATCATTTTGAAATTAGAGCTTAGATTAGAGTGTAGCATTGGAGACTTCACTATCAAGAGGATTGAATGCTTCAAAAGTCACTTAAATTTAGTGAATTAGAGTCCATTAAAAGGTCATTTCTATGACTTGGGAACTTTTTTTTTTACTCTTTTTATAGTAAATGAATTCTCTATTGTAAAATTTGAGGCAAATTGCATGTCTACACAATCCTATTAACTAGCGTAAATGTATCAACTAGTTTCCACTACTCATATGTGCCAAATCAATTAAATTTAAATTTATCTAACCTTTGCATTACTCAAGTGAACTCATATTGTAAATTAAGTTACAGACTTACAAAATTAGCATTTTCAAGATTCTGATCAATAGTATATCCATATGTTGCAAAATTAGGTTTTCTGAGAAATTTTTATAAGCATCTCTATAATTATCAATTTTAATTGCTCCTAACATTAAAATGAAGGACTTAAAATTTTTTAAAACATCATTTTAAACAAAATTTCTAGTTTTTGCAACGAGCACTCATTGCATATTTACCAAAAAAAAGGGTTTTCTCATATATATTGCATCAATTGTAAAAACCACATTGTATATATCATTCCACCAAAATCTACTGACTTGGATCAAGTGCAAAATTTGTCCAATGGAGTTTGCCTTAATAAATTAAAAAATCTTTCAAAAATTACAAGAGATGATAATGAGCTTAATTACCCACATGTAAGTCTTTAACACTAGATTGCTTGTTCAACCACTTGCTCAGAACCTATCTACAACCAAGCATAAAGGAGACAACTTTGTAGAAAATCCTAGGAATGACTATCTACCTAGGAGATATCCATTTAGGAACTATGATAGGAATGAACATCATAGGCTTCATGACCGTGTAGATGAACCCAATCTATGATGGTCGTGTATGAACCTCATAGATTTCTAGACTAGCTCACTCAAATGGATAATTTTTTTTTTCTATTATTATCACATGGATGACTATTGAAGAAACATATTTGCTAAGTTAAAATTAATAGCACATGCTAAAATTATATTAGAATAACATCTCAACAAAAGAGACAAGATGTCATGAAATAAGATCTAATTTTGAAGAGTTATCTACTTATATCTTTTAAAAATCTACCAAAGCCACAAATAATCATCCATATAAAAATAATATGCACAATAGAAGCTATCAATCATTTTCATATTTTCAAAGCATGTACATTTCCGTTCATCTTCCAAAAATCATTTACATTAATCATGAATGATTTCTTTCAAACCAATCTATCTTCATACATTCAGGACTATATAAAAAAATGGCAAAAATAAAAAATTAAAAAAATATCTATCTTCAAAACTAGATCTACCTTAGTCCATCGATGTCTTACCCTTCCCTAAAATCATAAAAAATCACATAATGAGCAGAGCCCCAAAAGGTCACATAAATTCATGGAAAGCAGAACAATATGCAAGTAATCATTCAAATTATTAGTAAAGCATGTTTATCATAAATTCATGTATATAGGAATATACTAGGATGAAAAGTAGTGGTTAGTATGAATAGTATCAACCAATACAAATCATAATCATGAAAGTGATCAAGAATCATTAACTCGATTTAATCACAGCATATACAAAAAAAGGGCTACAGGAAGACTATCATAGAAATAATTGAAATCAATGCAATTGTAACATGGGTCTATTATTTATCAATGCATGTCAACATCATAAAAATCATTTTTATATTTTATCATATTATTTATGCAATATGTACTACTCTCATGTATCATATAACTCAAGCATCATGAAATTTATACATTTTAATATTATCTCTAGTCATTATGTCATGTATTCATATACATATTTATGTTAATAAAAGCTAGAACATCTTACTAATCATATAATGTTTTTTTTTTATCTTATCATATATTATCATGTCTAAGGTGGTTGATTGTGTGAATCGTCACTACTACCCATCGACGTATCTTGTCCACTTATAACTCCTTATCTTACAACTTGTATCTTGTATTAGGATTACACCATAAGCTCATAATTAAAGGAAAGCCTATTACTACAAGAAAATCACCGAATATCGATGGAATTTCTTGCGATTTTACCTGCGGATTAACCATCGATATTTTTCCGGCAATTAATCCGCTGATAAAATGCAAGAATTTATGGCAGTTTCGTACATTCGAAAATGTTACATATAGTACGATCTGAATCGTAAAATATGATTAACAACAAAATTAAAATATTTAATTTTAACCCCCTCTTATGTGTGCATGTGCATAATGGCTAAGCAAACGTACACCTATTACAAAAATAGATTCAATAAAAATGAAAAAAACAGACTCTGTAACTTACAAACTCACTTTTATTCTGACATAACACTGTTTTGAGCCGATTCTTCAGTCTTTTCTTGATGTATGATGTATTTGAAGTGGTTAGTAGCACACAAAAGAAATCCAAAATATAATATAAGAATAAGCAAATAAAACATCTAATAATATTTGTAATCATTAAAAATGCAATTGGACTCCCGAATTGCAACATATGCCTAAGTTAAGATAATTAGTTTCTAATTAAAAGACTAGTAAGTAAATTATAAAATAGTTTTAAGTTGTCAAAAATAATAATTATTTAAGATTATGGTGAACTATAGGAAGAGCAACGCAAAAGTTTACTTAAAATAAATATATGTGTTAAGTAGTAAATAATGAATATTCTAGACTAACACTGAATTTAAAAAGTAATTTTACATAATTTAAAATAAGGTACGAAGTGTTCAAAACAAAATGTAATATGATACTTAATTCATAAATGTGAATACAATGAATTTGGTTATGAGCATCCTAATGAATTAAAGGTTTATAATGCTAATAAATAATATTTTCGTAAGTCCTTGATCATTTAGTATTAGGGAAATTTACATACATACCACTATATACTTAGTATTTTACGTATCTAACACCTCATTTTTAAATATTACAGTTATACCACTCATATTCCTATTTCACCTCTATTCTACCACTCCGTCTACCGCGTCGTCTACCGCATATATACATTAGGACGTATACTTCCCGCCATCAGCTCTTCGCGCCAGGCGTGTCCCGAACTTGTTTCCGTCATACGTTCCCCAATCCCGGCGAACTGCAGGTTCTACTTCTCACGACGTTCGGAAAAGTAGATTGTCGCCAGGCGAACATTTCCCTCCGATCTTTGCCGTGTTATGTAAATTTTCCTAATAAATACAATGAATTTGGTTATGAGCATCCTAATGAATTAAAGGTTTATAAAGCTAATAAATAAATATTTTCGTAAGTCCTTGATCATTTAGTATTATTATTATTGTGTACTGAAAATTTTAAAAGCAGTATATTGTGAGTTTTTTTCCCTAACATTAAAAAGATTTGCATACACATATAAAAGAATTTCCCTAGAGACATCAAAATTAAAACAATCCACATGAATCATAGTAAGAAAAAAAGAGTGGAGTTATATGCCGTTAAAATCATTCACTATAAATAAGACTATAGAATTTTGCTTTTCTCCCTAATTGAAGAATAAAGAATTATAAAATGTAAAACACTAACTTTAACTCATAAAACTATAGCAAAAAAATACTACAGAAATAACGCATGATGAAGAGAACAATCACATCATAAATCTTAGGCAACAATAGTCGAGTTTCAATGATCAAGTCCTAAAATTCAGGCGATAATGATCCAATTTCATGATCAACGATAATACGATTAGATAATGACCATCATTTAATTGATTATGATAATCAAATTTAAATGACTTACTGTTCCCGAATCATTACGATAAGACAACACATTGATTATTAATTTATCTTCTTTGTAATTCATTTGATTAAAAAAAATATTAGCTTTTAGTTTGTTAATTCAGCTCAATACGTAAGTGCTTTCATAAGTGATTTTGAGTCAAATTGTATGCCCCTTCACAAAGAATTTTAGATTCAACTTCCAAATATATATCTACAAGAAATCTTCACATTTTAAATAAAAAATGATCAATTCATCATTCAATACAAATCAATCAAAGCTCATTCAAATTATAAACAAAGACATCAATTCATCATTCAGTACAATTAAATCATGGAAGAGATTGATTTGATGATTCAAAGGAAATTCAGATTTTTAAATTTTATTTATTTATTTCAAATATTTAAACATACAGAGCTTTTTAGTAAAAAAAATAACTGACAACGGAGGACAGAGTCGCACCCATCAGCATTCATAGCAGAGGCCTTTACTCATTCTCTATATATTTTCTCCCTTCCCCTTCGCCCAAACCCTCCGAGAATCTCAAACCCTTTAGGGGCCAAACAGCCCTAAAGAAAAACCGCCATTCCTTCGTATTTCGCTGCTTGTCGTTTTGCACGCTCGCCAAAGGAAAAAACCAGTGCGCTCTCTCTCTATCTCTCTCATCAGAGCCCCTTCGACAACCCCTCTTTCTCTCTCTGGATCCTCCCGAGCTGTATTATCCATCCCGCTACTTCTCCCCCACAAGCAACACGGAATATACCAAGAAGGCTCGTCATCTCGTCTCTTTCTCCTTCTTCCCCGCCTCGAACGGCGTGATGCTTATAAAAAGAACAATCCATGGCGCATTAGCGCACAACTGCTCCGCCATTTGTTAGGCTTTGCTCTTCCCGTATTTGGAGGAAGGCCATTTATTGTGAGAGGGGAAAGAGGGGTTTAGGTCATTCCTTTGGTTGCAGTTTTATCCCATTGAGGTATTATTTCAGGAAATACGCCTTTCTTCCTAGTTTCTCCCGATTTCGTCTTCGCCTTTCCTTTTTGGGAATATTGGAAGGTGTTTTTGTGGCAGATCTGCTATTTATTTTCCCTCTTTGTTTAATATGGATGGTCTGTTGGGTCATGGGCTTCTCCATTTCTTTGTTTTTTTGTAAAATTGAAAGTTCTTGCTGAAATGGGATTTGCTTCGGCGGATAACGCGATGTTTAGATGTTTATCGCATGCGGTGGAAATACCTTTTGAAATAAAGTCGGAAGTCGGTCTAGGGTTCCATGTTGCTGTAGTATTGGGATTAATCATGGTTGATAGTGTGATTAAGCTAATTTTATTTGGATTTTTTATGTTAATTTGATTGTCCTGCTATATCGTTTTGAGGCTCTTCCATGTGTTTCTGCTTAATAGCATCTTTTTTCTTCTTTTCCTTTTAAATCTATTTTTGAAGTTTTCATCCTACTTGTTCATAGTTGGATCCATGGTATGCCGTTAGACTTTTTTTTTTTTTTTTTTAATTTATCATGTAGAAAGAATCTATATTGGGAAAACTTGTTTCATGGAGTAGTCATGTTTAAAGCTTGATTGCCTATGTTTAGTTACAGTACAGTTTGTTTTGATATCTATGTCTCCCTTTAGCTCTCGAACCAAGAAAAAAAGGTGTGCGTTGCGGGAGGGGGGAATAGACAAGTTGGATAGGATTTTTTTTTTTTTTTAAATCCTAACGCAATTGATCTTGTTTTCCAATCTGTACTACTTGTAGGTAGTTTGAACCATGATCATCTCTCTAGCGGAGTAGTTGGGTTAAGAATTGGGATGATGTGATGACGTTTATTTTGCTGGTGTCATTTGCTCAGGTTCTTTTATCCGCAGTGTTTTGTTCCTATGGAAGGCCAGACATCTTGGGATTCATACTATGGAGATAATGCTCACCACTTTAAGCAAAGTACTGATGGAAATGAGGAAGCAGAATTTGACATGGTCTCCTTGGAGAGCTTTCTTCCCAATGATGTTTTGGAGAGAATTCTATCCTTTTTGCCCATTGCAAGTCTATTTAAGGCCGCATGTGTATGCAAAAGATGGTATGATGTTATACATTCAAGGAAGGCCATATGGGCATATCGGGCGCCAAAGAAGCCATGGTACTTCATGTTCACCTGCAATGATACTGCAGCAGGATATGCTTATGATCCAGATCTTCGGAAATGGTATAATCTTGAACTCCCCTGCATTGAGAAACGCAACTGGTTTATTTCTTCTTCGTCAGGGTTAGTTTGCTTTATGGACAGTAATACTAGAAGCCGCATCTTTGTTTGCAACCCCATTACAAGGAACAGGAGAAAGCTTCTTGAAGTTCCTGGTGCGAAATTCCCTGACTACAGTGCACTTGCTATTTCCATGGACATGGAGTCCAATGATTATGATGTTGTGGTGGTGAAAACGAAGCAAGTCCCTGAAGATTTTCTTCAATGGGAACTTTCAATTCACATCTATGAGTCACAAAGCCAATTATGGGTCACTTTGGCTACTGAAGTTTTGGTGGGATGGAGGGGTGGTGATGAGGGTGTGATATGCAAGGGAATATTATACTGCTTGATCCATTGCACTGGTGTTGTTGGGAATCCTATTCGTCAGGGGCTTCTTATGTATGATCTCTCCGCAAAATCATCAGGCACTTTGATGAGTGCATCCATATCTGTACCCTGCTCACTCACTTGTGGAAGACTTATGAACCTCAATGATAAGCTGGTTTTGGTTGGTGGGATTGCTAAACTTGATAGGCCTGATATTATCAAGGGAATAGGTATTTGGGAGCTTCATCAGAAAGAATGGCGGGATGTTGCTCGAATGCCTCCCAAGTATTTTCAAGGTTTTGGCGAGTTCGATGATGTCTTCGCAAGCAGCGGTTCGGATGACCTCATATACATTCAAAGCTATGGTGCCACAGCACTGCTAGCATTTGACATGAGCCGAAGGCAGTGGAGATGGTCACAAAAGTGCCCTGTGACAAAACGATTTCCCCTTCAGCTGTTCAGTGGTTTCTGCTTCCTACCCAGACTTGAAGTTGCTACTTGATTTGTTTCTCTTATTGCATTGGCTTTGGTAAAATCAAAGAAGGTCTACATACTGATTTGCTTGAAATGGAGCAAGTTTTGTTGGTAGGATTGGGCGGGTCAATAGAATCAATATACACAGTAAAAATCATTTCTGCTCATGTTGGTGGTGAATTCTTTTTTCCCTTCTGTTTCTGGGTTTTGTGAGTTCGTTTAATGTTTTCATTGGTTGGAGGTCTGAAAATGTAGCTTCTTCTCTTCTATCTGGAAAGATATTCTCAGCTTTTTAGCTGTTGGGATCTTTCTTTCTGAATTCCTAAGTCTTTTTTCCTTCACTTTGTTTTATTAACTTTATGTCCTAATTTCCTGCTGTTCATCCTATATCAATTCTAAATTAATTTAGAGTTTTCATATCTCTGTTGTTGTATCTTTTGGCTGTCATTATCACTAATTTATCAGCTTTGCGTAGTTCACACGTAGAAGAAGAGATCTAAGAACCATAACGGATAAAAATTCAAATTGCAATCTAAACAAAACTTCACTGGAAATGAAGGGGATCAAAATGCTCCCTTCAGATCTTTGATTTCTTATTTTTGATTGTTTTACTTCTTCTGCAATTGCTGTGCTGTATATAACGAAAAGAAGCCTACCCATGTAATGAGCTGCTCTATTGTTGTTGGACGAAAAACTGAGATCGGGTAATCGACGGAAGAAATTTCTCGCATCTCACTCAAGCTTGAATCCCCTAACTGTTCCAAAAAAATAAAACCTAAACTTCTTTTACGGCACTTTATCTGAATTTGGCTTTTTTCAGCCATGATTATTTTGCCATTATATTGCTAGGAAAGTGCGGTTGCTTCATTTTTCAATCCTCTTCATTAGCTGTGATTTGTTTATGCTATTTTAGTAGTACATTCCGTTATTATTTTAGTAGTATTTAACATTTTAAACAATGGCTGAGATTTAACACATTCGTTCCATAGCTGATTGTTCGGAAGAGTTAAATTGTCTATTAAATGGCTTTATAGTACGTTTCTATCAAACCTTTTTAGCTTTTTGTCCGACAAGTTCGTCTGAAGGAGGAGAGCTGCATGTTTTATAATTGGTGGATTTATGTATATTTTATAAAAAAAATTCAATTTTTTATATTTTTCTTAAATAATATTTTAAGATTTAGATGAAATCAAAATCTATGCATGATTTTTTTTTTACTTTATTTTAAGTAAATTAATAGAAATGATATTTTTTATTTGATTTAGAGATTTAAAGATTCTACAAGTAAATAGAAAGATTTGGGTTTTGTTTGGGAGGATTTTTCTATTTTTTGTTAAATGTACAAAAAATTTTAAATGATGCTTTAATAAATAGTAAGAAAGCCTTCTCAAATGAAGCTTTAGATATTAAATATGTGAATAGATGAGAATTTTTTGGTATGTGCATAAATCCTCTTTTATGATCTAGGAGGTTTATATAAGTAGCATTTAAAATTGTTTTATGTATATATTTAATATCTAAATTTTATTATTTATATAATATAATGTTTTATTAATTTTTATTAATCACTTCTATAAAACAATCGGTGGATGATGTTGATAAAAGTGGTGGTATGTAGTTGTCGATATGCGGCGAGTGGAAGAGATCTCGTCTGGATTAGTTTGGATGGCATGTGTGCGGTCAAAAAAGATGTGATCTTGATGAACTAGGATTTGTAAAGTGCGAACAATGTGAAATTGTATGATTGTGATCTTGCTAGGATCAAAATGTGTGCGGTATCAGAGGCGGATCCAGCTTTTTTCAGGGTGGGCAAAAAAAAAAAATTTGTAGGGGATGGGCAAAGATGAGTAGGATTGATAAAATTAGGACAAAAAATTTTTTTGAGATGGGGCAAAATATCCAAAATATACCCTCTAAAATTTTAAAAAAAAAATTTGAGGGTGGGCATTTGCCCCCCCTCACTACTATGGGGATCCGCCCTGGTGCAGTATGGATGGTGTGAGATGTCAGAACTAGTTGTGTGCAAATGAGATTAATGATGAGATTTAGCACAGTGTTGAGGACGGTGTTATTTTTATCGTTATTTAAATATTTTGAGTGTTATGTGATTAAACATTGAAGTTTAGGTGTTAAATATATAATATCCTTCTACACTAAACCCATGAGGTCAATGTCTTAGGCTTCGTTTGGGACGGCTTTTTTATTTCTTTCTAAAACGGAGTTTTAATACAATTTTTTTTATTTTTTAACTAAAACTCCATCTTAGAAAGTAATGAAAAAGCTGTCCCAAACGAAGCCTTAATCCTTCTACACTAACATATGTATCCATCTAATATACGATTTTGCAATATATTTCTCATATTATTCATGTAGGAGTCACAAATCATATTAATCAAATTTATTCTCAATCAATATGCTATGAATTGGAGCCCATCATTAATTAAATTTATTTTCAATTTTAAATTTTTTGATATTTTTTTTTTTATGATCATAATTAATATCTATTTAATATGAAGACAAAATTCAATACTCTCATCCAGGAGTGAAAAAGTACATCAGCGATCGTTAAGACCTCATAATAAGTTTATGAAAGATACCATCCCATAGGCATGCCTGTAACGAATTTAATTTCTGACACTCCACACTGGATTGCTGTGTTGAAATAAATGATGCCTTCCTTATTTGGTTCTAGAGTTTATTCACCTCGAGAAACTGACGGGAGGAGAAAAAAAGGGAAAGCTTGAATAGCTTATTGGAATTTGTCAGCAAGTGGTCATGGAGAGAGAGAGAAAGGCAGAAAGAATTTGGGGAGAAATGTTTTCTTCTTTCATGAAATATGCAACAAATGCAGTGAGGAACCCTTGTGGTATATTAAAGGCCTCTCCATTTCATAAGAAATGCAGCAAGCAGAGAGAAGAGAATTTCTTCACGAGGCATTCCTGTGGTCCATTTTGTAGCAGAGATAATTTTCCATTACTGCTGCCATGTGCTAGCAAAGAAGATAACCTCTTTTTTTTTTTCCTTTCTAATAAAATAATGAGTGATAAATTATAAAATAAAGAGCTGTGAAATGGTTATGTTGGTGTTCTAAGAATTTGATCTTTCTCCCTTTTGAGTTTTCATTTTTTTGGCCTATCTTTGAACTGCTCTGCCCCTACATTGTGTGCGGCTCTGGCTGTTTGGTTTTTTTGTCATGCGAAGGCTGGATTCTTTTTTGCTGGGAAGGTGATTGTTTTCGATAGAGATGATGATGGGGTAGTTTCTCTCTCTCCCTCAGGCCGGCGGTTCTTTGCAATCTTTTTCTCATTGTGATGATAGTTCTCGCAACCGGGGGAAGTTTTGGTTTATGGATGCTACTCCACTTTCCTGAGCCCATGCTTTCAGTCTGCTTCTTCTTGTTTTCCATTTTGACATGTGTATTTTTGCACCTTCTTGGTGATCTTTTTCTGATTTTATTTACTTACACATATAACTAGTTTTACTTAATGAAATTTGAGCTCCGTCCTTAATTTGCTTCTGAAATGGTTTGATCTTTCGTCTCATGAAAATTGAGAAGGATAGTTGTTGCTTGGTGACCTGCTGCTCTTGATTTCCTAGCAGTGGAGAGAAGCTTTTCTGAGCTCGTCTTATGTTCTTGCTTTGGTGCGTAATTTGGATTCATTGGGGTTCCTTTACTTTCACTTATTTCGGCTTATTTTCTTTGTCAAACCTACAATCAAGGACAAAAATCACATGAAAATGATCATAACCTGAAGTTCCAGAAAGCTTCAAGATCTGATTAACTTCAAAGTCATGTTCAACAATCAAGGACGAAAATAACAAAAGTCAATTGCCATTGCCCAACTTTTATCATTTAATCTTCATTATTTGATCCTCGTGGCCTAATTGTCATTGCCCGATTTTCATCGCCCAAATATTATTGCATGATCTTCGTTACGTAACTGTCATTACTTGACCGTAATAATTTGATAATTTGTTTGATCGTCATTTGTTGATTGCAGTCATCATCTTTCACTTCTCAACTACAATCACAAAAGATCAAGTTAGTGCTTTAAACTTTATAATACATTCTTTTTCAATTGAGATTTTAGAAGAAGAGTGCACCATCAACTCCAGTGATTTTATTTTCCAAGTTGTTCATAGGAAAAATTGGTATATTTTGTGAATTTTTCTTTTATCTTTGCATGTGCGGGATTTTCATACAAAATTATGATGTAAAATACTCATTCTACCCCCACTCGTTCTGGAGGATATCTAGCGCCTATCCACTCGGCCCCAAAGCGAAATCTTTTAGAATTATTACTCTTTTTTATTTAAATTATAAATTATATAAAAAATTTTAAAACTATTTTGAAATATTTATTAAATTAGTAAATTAGTTAATTTAACTTAAAAATAATTATTAAAACTATTTATTTAATTTAATTTAACAATATTTATTTTATTTTATTTTATTTGACAATAAATTATTAAATTAGTCAATTTAATTTAAAACATATACTTTCAAAACTATTTAACAAAATTTATAAAATTAATTAATTAGTTAATTTAACTTAACAATAATTTTTAGAACTATTTAAAATTATAGATGCATGATTATTTCCCATAAATTTTAAATTTTGTCAGAATTTCTCTAGAAATCCGTTGGTTTTCTTCGTCAGAAATATTCATCGAAAATCCACAAGAAGTCTGTCAGAATCTACCGGATATCCGTTGAAAATATTCCACCATAAACCAATCGGAAAATCCGCCAGAATTTCCGGTGGAAATTTTCCTCCGAAAATTCCACTTGTAATTTACATTTTTCGTGTAGTGAACTACTAAATAACTCATTTTGTACATAAAAATTGTGCATGTGAGAATTGAAATGCTAGAAATCTTTTGATGCTTTACTTAGTCTATAAATCATCTTCAATATTCTTTGCTAAATGCAAGGAAAAATTATATTAAAACTTAGGATCTTAAGATTTTGGCTGCATATTCAAATATCAAGGAAATATGAATAAATATATTTTTAGTAGTGTTAAATTAGTTAAATATTGATGTTCTTAATTAATATATTTGATATTAAATAGGAAAATATTAAAGTCAAGTGAATTTTGAAGGTGCATATATAACATTAGAGATGTAAATCTTGATGGTATTACTTCTTTTGATTTTGAAAGCTATTAATGACATGATATATTTAGTTAAATTATGAAGACAGCTTATTAATATGATAAATTTAGTTAAATTATGAAGACTTGCAGGTGAAATAAAGCTTTATTTGGGACAGCTCTTTTAAACATCATTTGTATATTTACATAAGCTTATAGATGTTAGGCATACAATCAAATTTGAAAATCCATAAAATTTTAACAAATACAAAATACACATGTAAGTCTTAGCAGATCCAAACATTGTACACTCTATAATCC